CTTGTCTCTCGACAACACGTTTCAGGAGAGAAGAGAAGCTGAACAGAGGATCCTAAACTTTTGTAACAGCCTTCCCCCGTTCCATCAGATCGGCTTTTATAAATGCTCTCTGTTAGCCTCCAGTTTGGTTTATTTTGGTTGTGTGCTCTATTTCTTGTCTATGTATCATGCATACGTATGTATAAGTGTATGTATGTCTATTTGTTTTTGTATGCGTGTATTTCCTCCTACATGTGAAGCACTTTGTCACTGTGTGTTTTAAAATGTGTTCTATGGCACATCCTAATTATTCTATAAGTAAAATTATTAGAGAGGAGACTGAGGACAAGGACAAAAATGCTGCAGTGGATTAATAACTGAAGAAAATAGATGGATGAAAGGAGGCTAATGCGGTGGAGAAATAATTGCTGTACCTACTCTACATCTGTTCATCAAATATGACGCTACAGCCAGTATCCTTCCAGCCTTGTTTACAATGAAGAAAACGGAGGGAATTAGCTTGCCTGGCTGGCTCCGTCCAAAGGGAACAACACCTGCCAAACAGCTCTTCTATATATATCTATAGCTTGTTAATCAACACGGGAGATCTTGATTGTTTAGTGACGTGGTATTGGTGTGCGGGGCACATCCTAATGCAAGGTTACACGCACCTTTACATCGTAACACATGGTCGAGCCGGGGTGAGCGGGGTTAATTGTGACACGGTTCAAAGAATGTGTGAGAAGAGATGTTTCTGTGTGTTGTTGCCAGGGATGTGGATAGCGGCCAATCCATCAGAGGAGTGTTTGTAGCTGCAGTGCTGACCGAGGCTTTTTCGATGGCTGTCTACCTTGTGAAGAAAAATACATTTGTCTTCGTTTGACCCACAGTCTCTTGTCAATATTTGGCTATTTTTTTTGACGTGTGTATATATACTCCATCTATCTACATCCATTGATAATAGACCAACAGATGGATGGAAGGATAAATAGTCCTGTATGGATACCCAACCATTCACGATATAGATGGAAAAATAGTCTCTACTTATAGCATACAGATGGAATTGAATTGAATGTATTGCATTCAAACAGACATTTTTATTAAGTGTTGCAGCTAAACACTATTTGTTACGTATCGATGGGCTCAGTTGTAACATAAAAGTTCTGCCACTGACGGTGCAATTGTACCAGACCGGTAGAAGCAAACTTCACGTCTTCATTTGTTAAAGAGATATGTATGTTGCTTGTATAAAAACAAGAGTGATCTAAATCAAATATTTTTTTAAATGACTAAACCATAATGGGTTGTGGCCCGCTCTCCCCTAAACCCCTGATGTCAGTCCTGATGCTAAGCTAGTCATCTTTGGCTGTAGCTTCATATTTAAAGGAAAGATATAACAGTGGCGTCACTTGTATCATCTAACTCTCACTGATAAAACGAATAAGCACATTTCCCAAAAGTATTCCTATAAATGTTGAATAATCAAAAATTGTACACCAATGTTATCTGTGTTAACTGACAGATGCAGTGTTTAAAAACTTCTCTTTTCAACGACCGGCCAAAACCACATCACCCCCCCCCCCATTCCCGTTATTATCACACAAACAAGAGTCAGCGAACAGCAGAATGAAGAATGCATTTCACTGGACAAACATTTATTCATACCTCGTCTTGCTCCTCGGCTAAATTGTTGTTTCATCAGGGTTTTGTTCATTTTTTCTGCTGACGGCTGTTCTAATAGAGGGTTAAGGGAGTCGGGTGGTGGTGGTGGTGGTGTGGGGGTGGCTACGTTGAGTCTTTATTTACCCGAGCAGAAGAAATCGATGCCTCTCTGCCGTAGGAGAAGTGTGCGGATCAATGGGAGGTTTCAAAAAGCCTCTGTGAAAAATCAATGTCCCTTACATGCTATTGATGGCTGTTTGGCCGCAGAAGACAGAGAACGACAACGAACACCTGTTTATTGTGAAAAATGACTCACACCGCTTTTTATTTTCAGTCTTTCTGGGTCTTTTCCTCTCTTTACTTTCTCGAAAACAGTCTTGCTCAACATAGCTGTCTTTGAAAGACTTTAGTTGTCTTTCTGTTAAAAGTTGTGCACCACTCACACCTATGTATTGTAAGCAGAGATGAGCAGGGTCTCTGTTTCAGTGCATGTGCTAAAGCAACTTGGTGGACTAGTTTTAAAGCAGCAGACTAATTTTTACTACTTTACTCATTCATTTTACTCCGTTACATTTGGATACATTCATTGCACTACTTTTATTAAACTGTTTTATGCATGTGTGCACATTATGTTAAGAGGCTGGTGGTCTGCTGATGCCAGGTCTTACTCACTATCGCTCTGCCTACTACTTGAGCTTTTCAAGCGCAGCACTGCTGTCCATCATCTGGGAGGACAAAAAAAACAATGGAACATCTGTGATGCTAATGGCAAGCTACATCCAGTGCAGCTCTCTGACACTAGAGGCTGATGAGGTCTAATATTAAGCCCCGGAGTTACAGCATGCGCACGACACCGCTTGGCGTACAGTGGAAGAGTGTGAAGCAATTATTTCAGAGCCGCTATTAATAAAGAAGCAGTCAATAACATGTCGTTGAGCTCCGACACCATCAAGGCTTTAGAGAGCAGTGGGAGTACAGTCCTGCCAAGACTTTACCTAAGCAGTCAACATTCCCCTCGAGCCATGTCAGGCTGCGAGCTCACAGGCCAGTCAGCGGGGCCGTCTGTCCTGACACCTGCCCGATCCTGTGGCGGCCTGATCAAAGTGACAGTGCTGCAGACACGCGGAGATACAGGTGAGGGCTGCTGTCACCGGGCCTGTCCAACCGATGGCAACTTGGTCAGGGCAGAGAGAAAAGCGGCAGGACGGCGGGGAAGTCCGCTGCCTGCATGTCACTCAGTGCTGCGCCGGATGACAGAACAGCCCATTAGCAAAGGGACTGACTTCACAGGCCATTAGGGGAGGCATCACACAGCCACGGCACACAGAGCACTGAGTAATGGCACAGTTGGAGGGAGACAAGAGAGGAGATGAGAGACCCCAAGCTCTGTTGCAACATGCTCCTTATAAAGCTTGAAATTGTTATTAACACGTTAAATGACGTTGAATTAGAGTGAAAAATATATATGACTTAGCATGGATTTTTTGTTGTTGTTGTTTTGACTGAGATTTGACTGACGGAAATGAAACATAAGCAAACTATTCTCAAAGGAGGACTAAAGAGGTTGCAATAGTGGACTAAACGTATAAACAATAAGTATGGCAAAAATCATTCCCATGCCATCCAACACCCTGGAGCCGTCTCCTTGTTAAAATCTCTCTAGTTCTCAGTATGGCCCTGCATGCCCTCCGGTCATCATTAAGGAGAAAGACGGGAGCCTGAGAGGCCAACAGAGGCATCAACACGCATCACTTCTCCACTGCTCCGAACGCTCCACTCTCAGCAATCCACCAGCCCCAGACAGACTTATTTACTGCACAAAGTGGATTGTGTTTGGCTGCACACTATACTTCCAAATGTGCCTTTGATACCCCCTCTCTTTCTCCCTGCCTCCCTCACTCTCTGACTCTGACCAGCTCATGGAAACAGCAGAACTGTCCGACCGCTTTGTGACGTAGCACCACTGAAGTGCTCGGCGGGGCGGAGATGAGAGTGCCACACTCTGCCTATCCGGCTCCAAAAACAAAGACTTACAAACTCTCGGCTCTTTGATTGATAGTTTTGTTTCACTGTGAAGAAAAGGATCATAAAAAAAAAAAAAAAAGAAAAAAAGTATCTTCAAGCAGCTCCCCGGGCTTTTCCCTGGGGATTGGATAAAACCCGGTAGAAAAACAAAGAACAGAAACAAAAGAAGAAGAAAAAATGCTTCTTTTGCACAATTTAAGACCCAAAAGAGATAAACTGTGAGAGTTTTGTAAACAGCGAGAAATAGCTGATGGCTAGATATCCCAGATGAAGTCAGAAGGAAAGTGGGTGCAGGGAGTGAAGCAGTGGTCTCCTGCAATGATGCTTTTTGATGAATTACTGCACACACCACAAGCTTAAGAGTCTAGAGCTTTGCTATGAGAGAGACAAACTGCGCATTCTGTTGTGACAGAATCTCTGAATTTTAAGCACTCTGCGGCTCGAGCCTTTGCACAACAAGCCATTTACACAAACCTTGATTTATTCATGTTTCTTTTTCTTCTCAGACAGGCTTGCACAGACTCGACCTCCAGAGCTCACCGTGTTGTGTTTATATTTTGCACTTATCAAAACTAGCAGTTTTGCAGGAATCTAATATGCAGCGATGGGAGTCAGTTGTTGTTGGCACGTACAAATCTCGGCTCCTAAATGAGGACGGGTTTATTGAATAACGATTAGCCACCAGCAGCTGAGGTGTTACTATTTGTGTATTCCCGGTTCTTGAGACGAGGATGCAGTTTATTGTTGCATGTCTTCACCTCTGATTCATCTAAGTTTACAGCATCATGTCCTCACTGGGGCTTCGGGGATGAACTACCGTCTAGCTCTTTTTGGGGCCTGGAAATATCAGCTTTTCATACTTTCTCTTTATGTGTCACAGGAGACTCAGAATTACAGCTTCAGTGAAGATTCTGTGACAAATCGTATTGTTATAAAAGGAGCCATGAAAATAGTGAGTGAACTTCGGGCAACCTTTCTGAAATAGCCCGATAAAGGAAAAGAGGGGAAATAATCACTCTTTTCATTGTGCACCCAGTGGACGTCACACGGTGGGAGAGTGGAGCTGCTTAGCTGTTTTGGAGCCTGCCCTGTGCCTGATGGGAAAACTCCTCAAGGGCCAATGAGGGCTGTATAAATAGCTTAAGATTTTGTGGTTATAATTACACCAGGGGAACACAACATAGTCATATGTGAGGACGTGGAGAACAAACTGTTATTTACCCCCCCCACCCCACCCCCACCAATCAGTGGGTTAGCCATGAAGTGGCCTCGAGAAATCCCAGCTGTATAATCAGAACAAATCAGTGACGCGGCACATCAGAACTGTCACTTACGCTGACGAGCATCTGAGGGAACGGTCCTCGAGAATTCTCTGCCACATTGATTGGTGGGATCACCCAGTCCCTCTTCTGCCTCCGTAGACCCCTGGAGCTGTTCGGGCTGGAACCGGAGAACATGATGACAGGAGGCGGTGCCTGGGACGCCTCCTTCCTCTCCTTTCCCTCTGCAACCTTCCCCTCTTCCTCTGTGACCTTTAAGACAAGACAACACGCGGCTTTATTTAGAAGGCTGGACATGCTGTTAATGATAACAGTAGCTGATGTGACGCCCGAAGCAGAAGTTCACAGGACAGTGAGAAAAAACATTTCAGTCATGTTCATCAGGTTAAACAGATTAAAGTCTTTCTGACCTGTTGATTCCCGTGAATTCTTTTGTCATTGTGTGGCTATTGTGCATCTGTGATTTGTTTCTTGAACCAACAGTAATTCTGTCATCACTATAGCTGAAGAGAATGCATGATGTTGCTATGGAAACAGAGTGCTCTGATTCACCCTTTCATTCACTCACTCACTCTCTCGCTGACTCAACAACTTACATGTTCGCAAACAGTTAGTCTCTCTGCTAATTGGTTATTAAAAAGCTTGGCAACCAGAACAACCTTCATTGCTCAGACACTCAGTGTGTAGTGTGTGTAGAGTACTTTACAACAATGACTCTGTACAGTGTACTGTCAGAGCTAAATGTGGCAGGTGCATAAGTGTGAACATACTTAAAGGATTCAGAAATACGACGCAGAGCCTTTGTGACAACATTATACAGGACACGGGAGTCATTAAACGTGTGGATTCTTTGACAAACCAAATGTGCATTTAGTTTGCCAAAAGCTACCTTGATGCAGCATACTTTGAATGTTAGCACTTGTGAATAACCTGCAAGTGTTTTCCAAAACCCATCATCATCAGAAGGGAGAAAAAGGGAGAAATTGCATCATATACTGTGTTGGGATTTAGTTCATTTTTTTTTAATCCATGTTTTGGCTCTCATTAATAAGTCTATTAAATCTGTGTCACAAATGCCTGAAATAATAAAAAAAAAGGATGCTCTAACAAAAGTAGAATCTAAATGAATATATATATGTATTTAATAGACTGTTTATTGTGTGCAATGATGCTGAATAGGATATTTTCAAAATTGGCCAAGAGTTGAACAAAAGGCATATAATTGATGTTTTAATTATTTTACCATATTAGGTGAAGCTACACAGCAATTAGGAAATTCATTAGAGTGAGAAATATAAATGCAATTTAAACCGTACATGTTCTCTTAGCAAGCCTGCCTATTATTAATCACTTTGTCTGTTTGCTCTCATGTGGTTGATCAGTAGTGAACTGTGATATTTACAAAATCATGAAACATACTGTCTGCAGTGCGCCCTAATAAGCAACAAAAACTATGTTCTAAATGTTAAGTATCTTGTCTGGTTCATTTGTGTCTTCATGCAGCAGGCCCGAGCACGACGGAGCACACACATGTGAAGTCTCTGTGAAGGGTTTGTGTCTGAGGGTTTGTATGTGCGCATATATGTGGACGAGACCATAAACTATGGATTTTGTCAACAGCAGGTATAAAAAGCCCATTATCTCATACAGTATTCTGCCATCATACATTTCCCTCTAAGGCTCCCCCCCTGCAGGCGGAGAGAAATGACCATCACAAACCTGTCTTTTTGAAAGATGCTCAAATAAGGTACTTGAAAGGAGCCAATTTTCAATCTCCTCATGAACATTAACTCACCCATGAGTCAGAGGGCCTACATCACATGCCGAAGCTATCAGACGTACCACCTATACTAAATTAATGACCTCATGCGGAAATGCTGCAAAACACATGGGCGGTAAACTGCATAGACTCTGCTTCCTTCCAAAGTGGGTTTCGAAGCAAACACCAGTCATTGAAAATACAGTAAAAGGCCTTTAATTGTGTACCCCAGGGCTAGTTAGTGCAGCCGAGAGCGAATAATCGATTTGCTTCTAAATTCAAGCACATATTGGCGCGTCAGTGTCAAGGTTACATATAGGCTCCACCATCTCAAGGCTTACTTTTTAACTACCACATGCTGAGTGTCCCGGGGGCTACAGTAGACGTGCTGTATATAAGTGATATAAAGGTTATAATAAATTGGCAATCTGGAGAGTTGTCCAACAGTAAGTTTACCAACATATCACAGGGTTACAAGCCAGTGAAAACGTCAAGAATTCAGTCACAAACATGACTGCCGGAGCTGTGCATCAGTTGTACTCGCTGTCTCAATCTCCTGAGCTATCCCTTGCACCCCCCCCCCCCTTGCCCTTCTCTCGCAGTGTTATTGTTTTTCTCCGTCTCTCCTCCCAGTCAGTGGGTCTTGACAGCTTGTCTCAATAACAGTGATTCCTCGAGCACTGAGCTGCGTTAGGCTGATGATGCACCAGCAGGTAAAGCAGCGGCACGGAGCCTCACCCACCAAGAGCCTCGTACCACCAGGCCCCAACACATGTCATTCATTCAGCTTGTATTCATACAAGGTGGTCCCAATGACAATGATAGCAGTTCATGCTTTGCTGCAAGGTGTGCTCTGTAAACACAGGGCTACAAATGCAAAAAAGCAAAACTTGATCGTTAAAATGTATGAAACTGAATATGAAACATAGAAGTAGAAAGGGTTAAAAAGGGCATCCAGCCAGCTTTAATACAATTAGAAAATGATATATAGTATTTATAAATACATGGCTGCAAATGTAAATGTGAATCAAGATTAGTATGATGTTCCAGCACCTAGTTCTCGCAGGTAAATAATAAAAAAAATAAATTGACTTATGGGTAAGGCTAAAAAGAAATTAGATGCAGTCGAGCCGGGTCTGCTGTTTACATCTTTACCAGCAAAATCTTAAGCAATCATGAATATTGTGATTGGACATCTGTTTAGCCTTAAGGCGTCTTTTCCTGCTGGCCAAGGGACTTTATAGTCAACGTATTTGATTATGTGTCTGCTTGTGCGTCAAATAGTCTTGGAAGTGATTCATACGGTAGATATATATACGTAACTGTGACTAAACCACACAGGTTTTTGATGAAAAGCTGGGTAAGGGTAGCGCTCAAACTGAAGACTCTAGAAGCCCCCCTGGTGGAGCCGCGCACCCTAACGGTACGGTTTTACACAAAGAGAAGAGGCGGTGATGTGGGGGGGACAGTTGGAAACCACACACTAGATGATAGAGAAACAAAACTGTTCAGTTTCATTACAGTAAAGTTAACAGCGCATGCAGGCAGAGAGTGGAAAATATACAGTACATGATTGCTCCATGTGTGGGTTTTCATGTCAGAGTACAAGAAAAATCTGGTCTCGTGAATTTGGGAGCATAAGAGAAAGAGGTTCAATCATCAGACCTTTACATAATAATAGAGTAGTGGATTTAACACCTCTTCAAATTCTCCATTTCATATTACTTCTGTGCAATATGTAGCCTTACAGTGCCTCCCCAGCAGTTGACATTTGAGAATAAAAATAAAATACAACACAGGCGCAGGCTACAGTGTTTGGAAGATGGCAATGGCTTCTGGCACATATTGAAAGTGTAGGGGTCCTGCACAATGCAGTCTATAAAAAGTGTTCTCTCTTTATCTCTCTCTGTTTGTTCTTGCCTGGTCAACGTCCCTCAGAGGTTCGGCTTGTATCTGCCAGCGGAAACAATGCTTTCAAGGCTGACTTCATTAGATGGACGCCCAAGAGAAAAGCTTTTAAGGCTGCTTTAAAGAAAATGTGTCAGGTAACCTGGCATATGGTGCGTATGCGTTTGTGTGGGTGGGTAGGGGTGTGGGGGTTGGGGGGCGGGGACATGGGCTAAGTTGTCATGTTTGGTTTCATCAACCAGGCGCTACATTTCAGACATCATGTACTGTGCGATCCAGGGCACCTTCAGTAAAAGTGCAGAAGGAGCAGTGGCGTAAATACAGGCAGTGTGGTTGCACTGGGGCCCCGTGGAGGCAGCGGGCCCTCCGCCAACGTGTTGTGCAGAGCGCGAGCCCTTCCAAATGATTCAGAAAAAAAACCCAAACAAAAACATGCCCGTGTTCAAAGAAGAGTTGAATCAATTAAAAAATGGTGTCGTTTGCGGCACCCTCGAAAAGGCAAACCCATCTCTGTAATGGTTTTAATTTTTTTGGCCACTTGGGTGCAGCAGAAATGAGCTGACGTATTATTACCTTTTAAGGAGATAAGATTAATAATGTAATCTTTTTACATGTTGGGCAGACACGAAGCCACCTGAGCATTCATTCGGTCATGTTTATGTGCCCCCCTAATAAGCATTCATTCTCCTTTTAGCTCTGCTTGGGTCTCCACAAAGTCCAAAAGGAAATATCTGGCCCTTTAGTTGCACAATGCTCCACTACGTTCAACCAGCTAGTCGCTGTTCTGTTTGGTACCGGGCGATGGGCCAAGTAGCATATGGTGGGTATATAGGAGACAACAGCTGCCTGCATCTGGAAACAATGCGAATTAGAGCCGTGAGGCTGAACCAAAACAGTAAATTTGTGGTGTGTACAACCAAAAAATGCTTCAGATCAAGGTGATAATTCTCTGTGGGTCACTACAGGAGCCACCTTTCACATACACTACGTCATTTGATACATTGTGAATGTAGAAATATTGCCTATAGTTGCTTTAAATTAATTTACTGTAATAAACTGGTGTAGAAAGTAAATTAGAAGTTGACCAAAAAAAAACTTGATCTTTGGTGGTGAGATTGTTTTGTCATCTACTAATTCTAGGGTCAAGAATGAACTTTCAATCTCAATGTTTAATTTAACAGCTTACAAAAAATGATTGATGTTGAAATATGATTAATCAGAGTCGAGTAAAATACAAAAATGGGTAAGCTTAAATAAAATGTGAACTCATAACAGAATACAGCATGTTAAAATTATTTCTGTCTCCAACTATTAGTTGAGCAGCAGCTCCTCTTTTGGCCACTAGAGGAGCTAAAACCCCTGAAAGAGACACAAACTAGATCAGAGTCTCAACCTGTGCAGCTTGCTCTCATGCTCACGGCCCAAAAAGCACCAACTCTCCACCCTCCTCCTCCTCCTCCTCTTGCACACATGTCACCGTATTCTATGTGCGCTGTACTGTGTGACAAGTTCACTGGAACATGCACATGATCCTTTGCATTCAGTCCATATTCAGAGGGTCCATCGTCTGCCAAGCGCAAAAATGCCTGTGTGCACAAACAGGGTTTGTCAGCAGTGTGGGATGAAACAGATGTGAGCTGGGTCTGGGCAAATGTATTCTTTTTCTTCAGCGAGAGGAAGGCTTAGTGGCATTGACTGCAGGGGATGGTTGCCCCACATCCCACCAGTGCAGCGTGGAGAGGCAGAGGTGGGGCGAGACATGTTGGAATGGGATGGAATGAGGGGGTGGGGGTTGACAGAAACAGATGTGGCTACCCCATCCCCTCCCCTTGCCTAAAGAAGTCATGCTCCAAATCCTTTTATCTACACGTTCTAACAGGTACTAGTGAGTTCCCAGAGGAGAGTTGTAGAATGAAAAAGATAGAGGGAGGAGAAAAAAACAAAAGAAAACAGAGACAGAGAGAAAGATAGAGAAAGGGCTGTGCCCATCACTGCTGCACAAGGCTTAAGTGGGCTTTTCTCTTGCCATGGTGTAATTCTGATCAAACCCTGCAGCTCTGATTCACTCGTTGCTATTCACACTCACACAGTGAGAGAGAAAGTACAGGAAGGTGATGAAATCGATTAAAAAAAAAAACAGGTTAAGCGGAGATGTCGGCGCACTTATTCAAACGTATTATGAAAGATGGAGGAAAAGGAGCAGAAGCAAACCGTCAGAAGTTTTCACGACAGCTTCACGGATTCTAGAGACATGAATGTGTGATGTCCCTCGATCCAGCAGATACAATCTATAGGCTCCAATGACAAGACGCTTTATGCTCCAAACAAAGACACAACCACACACGGCAATTAAAAGCATATGCAACATTTGCATAATTCACACTTGATTCGACATATCTCTCTCACAAAATAAAAAAAAGCACAAACAACATCCATGCGCACACACATGACACACACTAACGCTATGTGCACAGGAGTCACTGAGTGTGAAATGGATGCGGGCCCCCCAGCCCTGGTGCCTTAGCCAGCTGGCAGTGGTCCCAGCTCTTCCCCCTCCATGCCACTGCCTCCCCAAAACCCTGCGCGCTTTGATATCAGCCAGCCCCTGGCTACCCAGACATCTGGAAGTTATTATTCAACAGAGCACGCCACAAAGCACCATTTCCATAATGAAACATCACATTTTGTTTCAGCGCCCTGCTTCCTTGCTCGCGCTCGTATTTGTTCGAACGTGTGACGTATTTCCGACCTCTGGCCCCGTCTCGCACTCTAGCTGTTCGCGACTCCTCCGGATCTTCGTATTAGTTGACTCACTGGACTTTGAAGAGCCTATCATTTGCCCTTTAACACGTTGTTTCGTACTGAAGCTCAGTCGCACCACACTAACCAGTGAATCATCTGGAGTGGCTACAAAAGCATGAGGATGAAGCCACAGCGACATACTGGTACATCCTTTGTTGGTCAATGTTCCACTCCGCCTCCCTGTTTGTCTCCGTGATTGTATTGCTGACTGTGAGCCATCATTTCTTTGTTTGTCTGGCCATGCACACCACAAAGACTCAGCTGAAAGCTTCTGGTTTTGAATAGTTTGAATAGCTCTCAAAATACTTAAAAAAGTTAAGCTATTAGAAGAGTCAGACAGGTTCAGTCATTTCAACTAACTGGCGTCAGAAGGGTTTTTCGTTGATTTGATTTTCATCTTCTGCTTACAGTACACACACATACATCTAAAGATCACCGTTTACATATCTGACTCATGTGTGTGAGGGTGTTTAGCACTGCAATAAAGTGCAAATTCAAATCAGAGTTTAATTAAGTCCCAAAATTTGCATCTTTCTGTGAATTTATTTTGTTCCCCCTGTAATGACAGGGGCAGCAAAAAACACTCTACGAACACAACACTGACATATCGACTACTTTAAAGTTGATGCGGTTAACTTGGTACCAAACGGTTACCTATTCATACATCCAGCACATGCGGAGGAACATCAGCATGCATCTGGAGCCGTGTTTGTGGCCACTTGATGAATGGAAGTCCAACATTCACTCTCCGTCATGCTGCGTTTTATACTCCACCACCTCCTGAGAAATATATCTGTCTCTTCAGCTGCTACACGCTCCACTACGTTCACCAGCTCGTCGCCAACTTTGTTCTGGTTGCTGGTGCTGGCCAGGTAGTGTATAATGGGTTTTTAAGAGCTTTCTTCACTGACCGGCACGATGACAGCAGTGAGACCGCATCGAAACAATGAGCAGAAAACAAGCATTCCGGCTCTGTAGAACTGAGGGGAACTGCAGTGCCGACACTGCAATTCTGTGAGCTGTCAATAAAATACGTCATCATGAACCTATTGATTTTACCTGCTTCCAGCGTTAAAGTTGTCAATTACGTTTACAAACAACTTTGGGGTGCTACAAAATTTGAGCATGTTTCTATGGCTAGAAAGTTCCTAAAAAAAACAAGTTTGCCTCCTGAGACTGAGTGGATCCTCAGCCATTATGTTTTGTGTGCGATGCATTCGTCTCAGCTGGATTTGATCTCATCGGGAACTTATTGGCCCACCGCCTGCACGATGATATCTAGGATTGCACTGTGTCAGTGAACATGGGCCCATTATCAAGTGGGTTTTTGCCACCTAATCTGATATTTGACCATCACATTTGGCCTTGTGGTTCTGTAATCACGTGGACGGTTGAGCTCAGGCTGCTCAGTCCTCGCCTGACCTCTGACAGCTTTTAAATGGAGGTGGAAGAGTCGGGGACCCCTGGGGTATCCAAGGCACAGGATGTTTTTCAATAACACCTTATGGCTGAGGGGAATCATACTCTCCCCCTGTGGCAGTGTGATTCTATCACTTTGAGCCATGTGCCACTGCTACTTGTTTTGCTCCCTTCTCTCTCTCTCTCTCGCTCGCTCTAAAACCCCGAGGAGTTTTGACCTGATTCTTGGCTGTTGCTATCCCCAGACCACTGGAGAAAATTTGATAGGAAGAAGAAACTCTGGCATGATAATTGAAATTTGAAGCATGATATTTGCCTGTCTGTGCTTGTGCTCAGCAGGAGTAAAACTCACCTCATTTCCATTTTGCAGAAGTGATGGTGGGTCAATTAGGGCCAGTTGGACCACGGCCTCCCAGACATGTGTGCTTGGACCGCTCGCTGTCAGTTTAAACTGGACCGGCTCGTCCAGGCTGGCTCCCTCTCCCTGGGCAAAGATGGACCCATCTGTCCGCACGCTGAAGATTGGGTCGCTGCTCTGGAATACGACAGCTTCATTCCCCACGCAGTCATCGAACTCCACTGTAGACAAGAGAATTGCAAAGATTTAATATACTATTCATTAAAGGGTGTATTTTCTCGTCATGTAGCGGTTGAATCAAACACACACAGCACACACATCTCAGTATAGGAAGTACATAGTAGAGTGATAGACATTGGCGTTATGATCAGCCCCAGTGAACACTATTATGACCACGCTGCAACCTCCGGGTCCTAAAAGTGAAGCCAATGCAGAAATGTAAGTTCTTTCCAGTGGCCATCAGGGGGCGACTCATCTGGTTGCAAAAAGAAGTCAAATTGTATAGAAGTCTATGAGAAAATGACTCTACTTCTCACTTGATTTATTACCTCAGTAAACATTGTAAACATGAGTTTATGGTCTCAATCTCTATTTTAAGGTCTTCTTCAATACAGCATGATGTTCATTTAGTAAATTATGGTCCCGTTTAGAGTACAATAGACCATAAAGCAGTGTATGCTTCAGGGCGTGGCTACCCAAGGGTATATTTATAGTAGTACAATGGCACCAATGTTAATTCAATGTGATGGTTTTTTAACACAGCCACGTTTCTGGGGTGGCATTCTCAATCACTTGCAAGAGCCCGTCCTTCACTTAACACATTGGAGGTGGAACTGCACTGGCAGAAGGCACTGTCTATATTTTACGCCACTGGATAGAAGGATTGTATCGCTGTGCCTTGTTGGAAGCTGGTAAATCCCACCATTGGTCTCTATTAGTTATAGGTACCGGTAAAAACATCAGCAGCAAAAGACTCTTGAGGATCGTTCTCTCCAGTTGCATGTAGAAAAAACCCCCACATGTGATGGTGAGGTGTGCTGTTATTGTAGAGGGGTCTTGAACTTAATAGAAAATTAGTTGTAGATATGTTGCAATTACAGAGAATAAGACAAGTGGTCATAATATAAGTAAAACTGGTTACTTTAAAATAATACATAGCACAAAGAAAAATAAATGATATACATAGGGAGTAACCTACACAAGCAATCATTCAAATTGTCAGCTTCATTTGCATAAACAGTACATTTATATCCATGAATAGAACAAACACAAGCGGTACTCTGTCAGGAAATATTGATTCCACTAGTGTTGTGGCATTTTAACTGTACTGTGCATTTTCTTTCCCCTGAGTGACAAAACACTGTGCTTTTAGCTTTTAATCTGAAGGCCAAATTGCTGTATTTCTAGTCTTTCTCCAGTTATCTCTGGCAGCCAAACTCAGCTCTCAGCCACGAGGTCACTATGATTGCCGTCCCGTCCTCTTCTGTCTGAACTTTGTGTTTACACTGAGATGAGATAAAATGGAGACATATGAAAACCGCAAACACTCTATGCAACACTTGACACGTCACATCACTATCTCGCTGTGAAATATATATTTAGGCCGGGGGAATCTTCTAAAGAGGGCTTGTAAATGTGCTCGAGGAAACTTAAAACCAATAACAACTGCAGGGATTCGTCTTCCTACACATAGAAGGGGATGGCTTGTGTGTAAGTATCTGTCAAGTCAGCTCACTTTTGTATAGAGAACCATAAAAACACATTCAAATTTGACCTAAAAAGGATATTTCCATTTACACAACATATGACACCAAATAATAAAAACCCGTTTGACTATTTGTGTGAACAACCATACCGTACAGAAACATAGAAAACAGGGCTCCCATTGCCTTGAGAGAAAACTGAAAATGGAATGAACCAAAATAGCAATTTGTGAGAGATGGGACTGAAAGAAACTAAGCCTCAATCACCAGAGCATCATTGCACTAAACACAAACTATCGGAAACACTGGTAAATATGCAGCAAATGAGCTTGAAATGTAAAATAGTCCTTATCCACTTCCTTCACAACAGAACGTTAAGTACAATAAAAACAAGTATTCTAACAAGACAGAACAAAGACAGAAGTAATCAGAGGGAGGCCACGATAAGAAAGACTTTTTCTATCACATTAAGATGGCACTGCATTTTATCAGCTGAGTGTGGCGCTTTTGGCCCTCTTGTTCGATCTCTCACACAGTTCATGAGAAGACGAGTCACAGACCAGTGTAACCTATATTAGCCAACCGTCCTCATCTCCTTCCTCCCTCGCGGCGCCCGCAGCCTTTCCTCTCGGGGATTACAACGTCTAGACGGCATGTCGTAGGAAAACCCCTGAGCCGAAGGCCGTAGCTCACCATCGCATCTCCTCTTCCCACGCCTCAACGACAGCTGAAACATGGCTTCCGTTACGGAGAGTAAACCATGAGTAAATCCGGCTTTTTGTTTTTGTCTGGCCTTTAATACGCCTGTGATCAAGTCGGTGCCCCACTCTCGAAAAGCTAGACAGCCACTCAGAGCTGAGTCAGAGGGGACGGCTCTTCAACGACACTGAGTGGAGCAGGTGCTGCCCAAGTGAGGAGACAGGGCATGCAAGATGGTTTACATCAATCCAAAAAGACAGAACGGCCTCTGCTGTTCATCAAATAGTTTCTCTCTTTGTGTAGCTGAACATTTCTACCCCAAACAAACCACTGAAAAAGTCTGCCTGCTGTTTGTCTTACTCTCTTTCCTTTTTGTCTAATCCTATCTCATTTCTATCATTGTAGATTCTGATTAGATTTGAAGGTTTTGGGGGGGGAGGGAACAATAACAAACATGCCAGTTGGCAAACGTGTCTGTACAAATAGAGTTTTGGAACACTGCCTGATTATAGTAACAATAAGAAAACCAAAAATGAAACCCAAAGCATGCTTTATTGTTTTAGTCTTCAAATCTGCAAAAAAGTGGGGGGAAAAACAACAAGCAGCAGGTGGCTTGTTGTCCCTTCGCTCACTTGGCCTCCAGTTTTTGTCTTGTGTCCCTCTGCACTATATGCACGGAGCTACCAGTGCAGCAGTGTATCACGGCTGGTAAAAGGTTCATTATTGTCGTTTCTTTTCTTTTTTTTTCCAAAAACAATCATGTTCGTTTTGAATATTACAATAGAAACCCGAGGGAATATCATTGTTCTGGAACACAATCTTCAGCACAAAAGGTGGTATGGAGCTGCAGCAGTTAGGACCTCATGGCGATAAGGTCCTGGGTTTGAATGTGTGTGTGTGTGAGTGGTTGTGTGTCTATATGTGACAGCCCCGATGATAAACTGGTGACCTGCCCAGGGCGCCCATTTACATCCCATCTTGTCGAAGATAATACAACAAAGTCTGTATCCCATTTAATTTCTTAATTCTTTGTGCTTAGAGGCACTGATGGTGCCGGTCAGAACGTAGTGAGCTGTCTAAGGGGCTGTTCACGTGCCGTGTTTTGGGGCGCTCTCAAAGCCAGTGTTGTCAATGTAGACGCAGAAGGCATGCGTTTTAAAGCGACTATTTTTGAGGGCGTGACGGCTGCACCCCGAGATAAAAATTGCTGCATCGTGCACCACCTGTCATGTGACCAGGAAATACCAATCATCACGGTAGGCAGATATCTTTTCCTTCTTCCAGAAGTATCAGTCTCCGGTAAATATGTCCCACGGACTATTTTACTTGCTTCACCCTTCTTTCCGTCCAAAGACGTCACAACATCCGGTTGAAAGGTCAGACAAACAGGACAGACAAATGGAGCAGTAAAGCTACAGTGAGGGGTTTACTGTGCTGGAAATCCATTTATCTTTGTTTTGACTTTGTTTAGTTTAGTCAGCGAGGCTTACTGCTAAATCGCTGCGACTTCATCACCATCGTCGCCATCGCAGCGCACAGGTATTAGTTGCTTAGTAATGACCTCCCATGCACCTTGGATAAAAAGGACGAAGCGGCGCAGCTGGCGTTTTTAGATATAAAATGTAAGTGGCCCCTTAATCCATGATCTCTGTTTTGGTGATTTAATATGCCACTCACTATTTGTTTATCGGAAAAAAATAATCTTTCAGCGAAAATCGGTAAAAGCCAAAATTGATTGAGCCAATAAACGAGACAAGCAGTAGCGTACACTATAGGGGTGTAATCGGTCCCCGTGTGTGTTTATGTAGGCATTTATTCTATGATTGCCCGCATGTCTCAACAACGACAGGCTGAACTAACTGCACCAATACCCACACACAAATGGAGTGACAGGCTGCTTAAAGAGTACCCAGAGGGTCTTGTTCTTGCACCAATTAAAGAAAAAGAAAAAGACAGTGCCAATTTTACCCCTCAATCAACACAAACACACAGACACACACACACACACACACACACACACACACATCCAATAGCTCCTCTTTCACTCAGTTGGGTCGATACTGCTATAAGAGAGATTATAAAATCGGCCAACAACAGAGCAATGAAGCCCAACGGCACAGTGCTGCACATTAACAAGTCGTCTAAAGCAGTGGGCCCAGGTTGAACATTGATCTGGCAAATAACACAGACACCCCAGCGTGCCAAGTAGCCAGCCCAGCACTTCTCCACTGTCTAGTCAATGTGAGCAGTCACACCCCAGAAATGTAACAACTGCTGCTGTTGCCATGCTATGTGCATTCCCAGACACACATAGCATCTGATTTCTTTATCATCGTTGCTTGGAAGGCGGTGAAATGATGCTTCAGGTGTTGCTTAGATGACATCGCACCCCCAAACCGCATTTTTCACATTTCCAATTAAAGTTTCCCTTCTCCCTCCAACAAGACAAGGACAAGGAGAGCGACGCTGAAAAGAGTTGTGACCTTCCTGCTGCGTTCGCTGGGCAACCTGACGGGAAGTAGGTGACAAGTGTTGAAAGGGAAGGCAGAAGTGGATACAGTCAGGGGAGAGAGAGAGAAAGCTGAGGAGTGACGGTGAGAAGGTGAGAGGAGAGGGGGGAGAAAGAAGGGCAGAGAGGGAGAAAGACTGATGAAAGGAAGGATAGTGTGTGGAGGGGGGCAATCAGAGAGACAGCGAAATTATTGAAAGACCATTAAAGGAGGAGAAAGGGAAGAGGTGAAAGACGCTCATAGGCAGATTGCGGTTGCTAAAGTGGCGATCTCCAGAGGCGGCACAGTTTATAGCTGTAGCGGTTTAAA